CAACCTCAACTAGATCACCCTGGCAACATGACCAAATAACAAAAACGAGTTAAAACCACTTCCATTAAGCTATATAGGTTTTTATATTTTTACCTGTTTTTTTTCGGAGGTACAATAGTGATTTATGCCACACTTATTTCAGGTCGAATACATATAACTTGGGTCTTTTTCGCTTAGTCAATTAGATTTTTAGGAGTCAATCTGGAAGATGAGTAAAAAATGTCCTCTGGTTTCTACTCTTACCTCAGCCTTCACAAGTAATAAAAAGCCCTAAAAAGCCCTAAAAAGCAGATGCTCCATCTGCTTGTTTCTTTCTGAAATCATTTTTGTCTACTTCATTCTATCGCTTTTTCCGCTCGTCTTTTAGGTGAATGGACCACTCTCACGCAAAGCCATCGACTGGACTGACGACCATGCTTCTGGTGTGGATGCAATTTCACGCGACCAACTCGATTGGCCATGCCATGCCAACCCCGGGCTGTGTTGCTCCGAGCCCCTGCAACGAGGCAACGGCATCTGCAACCTCGCGCATCCGCCCGCCGGTGACGACGGACCACCACCTTCGTTAGACGACAACCAAAAGACTGGGTCCTACACCGCCGGCAGCTGCGGTAGCGACAGCGGCAGCATCGGCGCCAGCAGCGATAGCGGCGGCTCCAGCGGCCACAACTCGAGCACCAACACGAGCACCGACAACAGCAGTACATACGCCTTCAGCAGCCTGGACTCTGATTGTCTGGCTTGGCTGCGTCTGAGTGTGCGCGACGTCACCAAGCCGGTCGGCGCATGGGAGGAGGCTAATCGCCCGATGCGGGCGCTGGCGCACATAGAAGCGTTGCCCAGGGCCCAGCTTGCCAATTGGATTGACGTGTTCAACACTAACATGCTCGGCTTGCGCATGAATTTCGTGAGCTCACGCCCCTTCTGGCTACCTTATTCTTCCAGCCTCATTTCTGTCCTAACTTGGCTTGCCGCAACTGTTGCGCCAATAGCACTTTTTATTCGAAGCTATGAAGGCCAGGATGGTGTGGCCTCTATTTTGGTGAATTTGCCAAGACAGGGCCGGAGGGGGGAGATAACGCAATCGTTCGACATAAAGTTGCTCAGGGGATGGACTTCACTTGTATCTTTGATGGGTTGTGTGATAAGACTCGCTGACGATGTCGGTGAAACGTCTGGGACCCCACTTAGTCCATATTCTGACGCTGGCAATTAACATGCCTACTGGGGCAGAGGATTTCGGACAAGTTGTGCTCACCTTTGTCCACTTTGACAGCAAGACAAGGCTGCGAAAGCAAAGTTAAACCACATTTAGTAATTGCTTGACCTTTTTTCACAACTTGGTCATATTGGCAGGAAGACCTAGAAGAACACATCCTGTCTGGAGTCCGTAGTATGTGTGATCATTTCCAGAGTAGGACCATGGACTTGGTACATTCCCAGACATTGGTGCTGGGAATCGCAGGACTCTCACTGACGATGCCGGCGAAATGTCTGGAAATGTATCAA